GGCAGTCAAGCGACCTCAGTATTGAAAAAAGTATTGGGCCTGGACAATTACAGTCGTTAGTTGCTAGGCAGCATTACCTCTCATGATACTAACTTTGCAAGTGTATAAAATGAGCACCCCTACTGTGGAATTCAGTCCTCATGCTCATCAGGCAAGAGGTAACTCTGCCTGACCCCAGCTCTTGTCTCTTGTCTTTATTTTTCATACCCACTGCCGTTTCTCTCTTGGGTACACCAAGAGACCAACGATGCTCCCTACATATGGCGCCTGAACAGGGACACCCGGTGAGAGAAAATAAGTGGGCAGTGGGTATACTTCCCAAGAGCTTGCAGCAGAAGTGGGGAAGCACATTTGTGAAAGCTAGTGTCCAGCACTGGAGTGCATGGTACTTGCACATCAGGTGTAAAGCATGGGGATGTATGTTCTCTAGGGCTAGAAGATATACAGGCTTCAAAGAAGCCAAAAGAGAAAGGGCTATTGAAATGCAAGTAGAGGCTCAAGACTCCCGGGGTATAGGTCTGTAGAAGTGTTTGTTGCATGTTTGACTCTGTAAAAGCCCCACCACAGACATCAAAGGTTCTAATTTAATTCCCAGTTCCCACCCCTGCCATGTGGATAGCTCTTCATGTTTACCATTTCTGGAATGTATGGTTGTAAACGCCCTGCCCTTCCTGAACTCCCAAAATGTATTGTTCTTCTCTCGAATGCTCTACCCCTCCCGGATTCTCAGAATGTACTGCTCTTCTCTTAAAAAATACTCTCATTGTTACAGATGTGACATGTGTTTGCCAAACAGGATGTGGTTTTAGGGTTTAAAAACTGCTCTCCTCCCTGGATGGGGACTGGTCTGATCCTTCCCTGTACGGAGGCTCTCAGTCAGTCCCTGGCCAGGAATAAAGGCTCGTCCTAAATTCCAATTGGTGGTCCGTGCGTCTTGGTGTTTGTCGGTCAGTACCATTTGGTTCGTTTCTGGTTGTGAGTCCAGAACAGACTCCTCTATTCAATTTTCTGGACGTTGGTTTGGAGGGGTTTTGTAATCGTAAGGGATTTGGCTCAGAATGTTATGTTAAAATCAAGTCCGGAGCCTAAGGGGGATATGGAGGGCGGAGAAATGGCTCTGCTGATAGAGCCTGAGCCCTCTAGCCTGGTCCAATTTAAGAAGGAAAGAGTGGTGGGGAACAAAAGGGACTTTTCCCCGCCAGAGAGGTGTTTCCCTGTGACCCCTGACTCACAGCACTCCATGGAACTGCCTGAGCCACAGGCGGCTATTCCGGCCTTCTCAGCTCAGAGAAATTTTGCTGCATCACAGGTTGGAACTTCTGCCTCTCTGAGAGTAGAGCCATTTTCTCTGTCTCCCTTGCAATTAGCGTTAAAAGAAGTCAGGTGGGAGGGGAGCCCATGGAGGGTTTTCAGAATATCTACCCTGTTACTGAAGTTCAAGTCCCCCAAAATCTGGGACAAGTTATACGTTGCTATGAAGCTATACCTCTTAAAACTTTAAAAGAATTAAAACAAGCAGGTGCTACTTACGGTCGTACTGCTCCCTTTACCTTGAGTTTACTGGAAATTCTAGGACAATAGATTATGGCCCCAAATGATTGGAAAGGAATAGCTAAAGCATGTTGAAGTCCAGGAGACTATCTGATGTGGAAAGGAAACTTCCTTGAATATGGCACTGACCAGGCAGCTCAGAATGCCATTCACAACACAGCCATTACAAAAGATGTGCTAACTGGGGAAGGTGCCTTTGCTACCACAAACAATCAACTGACCTTTGAACTGCCAGCATACGAACAAACCAAGATGGCTGCCATGAGGGCTGGGAGGGAGCTTCCTTCTAAGGGAGAGGCAGCCCTCAGTTTGGCTTCTATTCATCAGGGCTCTGAGGAAGCTTTTCAAAATTTCATCGAGCTCTTATCACAGGCTAGTGAGAGGATTATAAACAATACAGAAGCCAGCAAACTAGTAGTTCAGCAGCTCGCCTTTGAAAATGTAAATAAATGGTGCAAAGAGGCTTTAAGAGCCCAAAAAGGCGGGCCACACTGCTGGATATGATTTGGATCTGCGCAGGTATCGGCCCCTCATATGTATGGGGGCTACTTTGGCCGCAGCTGTTACTCAGGTTATTCATCTGCAGCCTGGAGGAAAGGGTGAAAACAAGGCCATTTGTTTTCGTTGTGGAAACAAGAGGCACCTTGTCTGGAATTGCTGTGCTACACCTATAAGGGCAGCACAGCCGTTATCTGTAACTAAAGCTTGCAGTCCTTGTACCAAGTGTCAGCGAGGGTATCACTGGAGTAATCAGTGTTGATCTAGAACTGCCGGGAAAAGTCGGCCCTTTCAGGGAAACCCCCATTGGAGATTGCCTCAGCCCCATCAAACAATGGGGGCCGCCCGGGGGCTGCAGTGGGGGACGAGGTGCTGGGCGCACTCAGGTACCCGGCATGCGCTCCCTCCGGTCTCTTCCCCTGCGCACAGGACGCCCAGGGCCCCCATGGTTGGCAGCTGTGTGGTGGGGAACACCCTCCTGCCTCGTTCTCCTCTGCCAGGCTCCTGTCGCACACGAGCCCAGGCTGCAGGGTGGGCCGCTGCAGGCCGAGCTGCCGCGACGTGGGGGTGCAAGTGAACCGGCGATGCGAGGCGTCCGTACAGTGCACGCCCGGGCGGCAGACGCCGCTGCACAGGGTCAGGGACCCAGGAGTGCCAGCCCCCCCCCCACCCTTCCCCGTGCGTTCCCGCTGCCCCATTGGCTGCCTGGAGGAGGCCCCGGTGAGCACACAGGGCCCTGTGGCACCAGAGAATGAGGGGGCAGAAGGAAGGCGTCCCCACCGCCAAAGGCCAGGCAGGAGCGACAGGAGGCTCAATCTGGCGAGGCAGCCCCACAGCCCGCGCTGCAGGAGTTGGGGCGGCCCCTGGCAGCGGGGAGGGCCAGGGATGGCGGGGACACAATCGCCACTGTGTGGGAAAGATCACAGCCGGGTGCAGAACCAAGCAAGAAGCACTTGCGCCTCCAGCAGATATATGGCTATTATCACTGTAAGGACTGCAACATCCGCTGGGAGAGTGCATTCGTTTGGTGTGTCCAGGGCACAAATAAGGTTCATTTTAAGCAGTTTTGCAGAATGTGTCAAAAGGCTTACAACCCTTACCGAGTGAAGGATATCACCTGCCAAAGTTGTAAAAGAACTAAATGTTCATGCCCAGTAAGACTTCGCCATGTGGACCCCAAACACTCCCATCGTCAAGACCTGCGTGAGAGGTGCAGGAGCAGGCGCCTGTCCTGTGATGGCACGGTGCTCAGAATCTGGCCAAGAATCGAGTATCAGGCGGCCAGAGTGAGAGCCCAGGGCTAGCGCTACAACTACTGCGCCAAGAAAAACTTGTGCACCTCGGCCTTGCAGCCTGCCCGCCTTGCAGCCTGCCCGCCAGCGTTTGCCTGGGGAGGGGGAAGGAATGTGGGCAGACAGCCGTTCCAGGTACTAAGACAATGCAGCCGCTGCTAGCAGCTCTCCTGTCCCTGAGCGGGTGGAGCGGAGGCTTTGACCTTGGCACCTCCTCCAGATTCTTACTAACTCCTAAAATGGAGCCTGGAACTATTCCTACTGGAGTCTATGGACCTCGCCTCAGGGCACAGTGGGACTCCCGGTAGGCCACAGCAGTCTTATTTTAAAAGGTCTTCAGGTTTTGCCTGAGGCTGACCACCCCTTTGCTGCCTGCCACCGAAACTCCCAGAGTGCTTTCTGTCCTCTGTGGCGCGGGTTCTGCTGGGTTCCAGCCCTTCACCCTGTTCGCAGCACTCTGGGAGGCCAAGGTGGGGCATGTGCTTAGCAATTCGAGAACAGTCTGTCAGCACAACACGGTGAGACCCCATCTGAAAAAAGAGGAGAGAAAGGAAAGCGGCCAGACATCGAAGTTTGACAGATGTATTCAAGCTGGAGATCAGAATCTTCTGGAGACCCCAAAGCGAGTGATGTTTAAGATGGAGGTGTTGACGAGAGCACAGTCACCAGACCCGGGGCTGCAGAAGATGGGACACCCTGGGATGGGACTGCACGAAATAGCAACTCTGCTCTCCTTCTACTCCTCTCTTGTGTCCTTCTCCCTTCCCCTCCACCTCCTCCCCTTCCCTCCTCTCCCCTCCCCTCCCCTCCTGTCTTTCTCCTTTGAGATGGGGTCTCACTGTGCTGCCAGGCTGGTCTCAAACTCCTGAACACACGTGATCCCCTCATTGCGGCCTCCCCAGTGCTGGACGTGTGCCGCTGCGCCTGGCAACTTCCTCTCCCAAGGCATAGATCTTTACTGCACAAAACTAAAGAAACTCAGATGGGATCAGAGGACTTATATTATCTGTCACTGTATCACTATTATTTAAGCTTTATTGCAATGTTTTCTTTCTTCAAGAAAATGTCTTCCTCTGTCTCTAAACAGCCATGTACTTCATAAAGAATACAGACCTAACGTGTGCAGCGCACTGCTTCTCTGATTAAGATGAAGTCCAGTACAGAGGATACCATAGTTTACAACCGGTGGAAACATTGGTTTATGAAATTCCTGACTCCCTAGGCTCACTTGAGTGCATCCTACCTAGAATCACCCTTTGGGCTGGAGTCCAGGGTTGTGCTTCCATGCCTGTGAGATAAAGGCCTGCCCGGCTCAGGTCCACAGCCTGAAGCTAAGGGTGCACAGCCCTCCCTCTTGGTACTGTGCTCAGCTGTCCTTTGAAGTTGTTTGCACAGCTTCATGTGCAGGAGACCACATGCTATTCTGCTACTCAGTGGAAATGCGTTTGGGGTGTAAGAGCTCCAAGCAGTCCCCAGGTCAGAGAGATGCACTGTGTCCTCTCCACTCCTGTGTTTCCACTGGGAGCATCAGGGTAAACTGAGTCTCAGCAAAAACTCCACGCAGATCTCCGAGGTGACTTGCAAAAGTTGGAGTCGAGCTTTCTGGGTCGTTGGATTTTGTAGTGGGGTCACAGTGACTTTTATTCATTTCTAGGAAACTGTGAAGCTCAGAACTGAGGCTGCACTCCGCAAGTCCTCCTTCCCTGGCATCGGTCCCACTTCTGTCTCCTGAACTCAGGCGGCCATGGCCTGTCAAGGTCAGAGTCTGGGCTCCAGTTCAGATGAAGACAACAGTGTGAGGTTTCGGAGAAGCTTTGGTGCATCCACTCGAGCCTGGAGGCCCAGGACATGGAGGCCTTGAAGTTCCTCTGCAAAGATCTGGTCTCCAAGCAGAGGACCGGGTCAGCCTGGATCTGTTTCAACTCCTCCACAAGGAGTCGCTGCTCAGCGAGAAGGAGCCCCTCCTCCTGGCTGAGCTCCTGTCCACCATCAGGGAGAGCTTGCTGCTGCGGCACCTTGGATATGCCTGGGAGTGGGTGCAGCAGCTGTTGCGCACCCACAGGGGGTGTCACGATTCAGGTGAGGAGGCGTCTTTTTGATCTGCGGTACACTCTGGCCTTTCGCTTTGAAAGGAAGCTGGCTAAGATCTTTTCCTCCCCTCCCTCCTGGGAGGGACAGCCAGGAGATTCTCAGCCAGGAGGCCCCTCGGTTTCACCTGCTGGAAAGCCAAACAGTCAGGAGTCAGCAGACCCCGGGCGCAGACTCCGCCTGGACGCAGCTTCCCTGTGTTCAGCTTCCCCTCTGCCTGTGTCACGACTCCTCTTCCTCGGGGACTCACCATGTGTCTTCCTGTCTCCAGAGCCTGAAGAAGGGCTAACAAATACTTGGAGTCCAATAAGCAAAGAGAAAAGAGTTATGCATTTCTAGGGAGGGGAGCCACATTATTCACAGCTGTCCAGGTAACATTCTGAGAGTTTCAGGTGTGAATTCGGAGAGGTAAAATGCAGCATAGGAATTTTGCCCAAGAAGTTACACTGTGGACTTCAGGCTCTCCTGGGCCGGACTTGGCCACAGTGTTTGAAGTCTCCTGATCTGTGTCTCCACCAGAGAGCCACGTCAAGGGGTGTTTTGCGGCCCTGGCATTCAAGCTGGCACCAGGGTGAATTCCAGGAGTCCTCAAGTCTGGCACTGGACATGTGAAGACTGCCTGGAACATGAGGAGTCGATGTGCCGTTGGGGAAATGCTCTGTTTCCTGGGCACGGACAGGCCTGGCAGGAGAGATGGCAGGGGCTGCCTTCCTTTTCTGGGTGAGGGTGATGGTCACGGTGGGTGCCCCTTGCTGTGCGCTGTGAGGGAGCCCAGCTTCTCCACTGGATCAGGACAGGGGGAGGCAGCGATTGTGTTTATGTCTTCCTGGTGTAGACCAAGGCTGGAGCTGGGCTCAGGGCCTGCGATTTTAATGCAAACAAGCGGCAGACCTAGAAGGTCAGTGTTTGTTTTTGAACCTGTAAGGTGAGGTTCATGATTACGCACTCCTACTGTGTGTGCATCCTCTAGATGACAGTAGTAGTTGTGCACGCCAGGATTTGCTCTGTGGCTTCATCGTCATTTTGGGTGTGTCTCAGAAACCTGCTCTACCAGCTGTCAGAAGCCAGCAATGCAAAGAAGCTGAACGACATGGCCTTATGCTTTGGGACTGCATTCCCAGAACCCAAATGGTGAGTGGGCGGCAGAGGGGCTGGGTGGGCGCTGCCTCTCCACGGCAGTCAGGAGACACGGGAGGGCCGGGGATACAGCTCGGTGGCACAGCACCTGCCTGGCAAGCACAAGGTCCTGAGTTTGATTCACTGTACTGAAGGAAAAAAAAGCAGACACGGGGGGTCATGTTCTGCCGGGGCAGTGGCCTCAGCCTGGGGGTCAGGGGCACCTGGACTCTGGTCTTGGCTCTGCTACCGTGATCAAATATTTCTGAGTCTGTTTTCTCCTATGTCTGCTTGTAGAGAAGAGCGGCTTCCCCTCCACTGCAGCAGGAGAGGGAGGACGGCTAGGCAAGCACTAGCAGGGCCGCATTCACACTGCAACTCTGTGAGGAAATGCGGATGCTGGAGGCTGTGAACACGGGGGGTGGGTTGTGTGTTCAACATTTCAACATCAGCTTCTGTGACAGTCTTGAGGGCTCTAGGTGTCCGTGTCTGCTGACAGCAGTGTCTCCACTGTGGGTTTCTGTGAAGATATAGACATAGTTTACATATACATCTTTCATTTTTTTTACTTACCCACTTTCAAGATAACAGGTTTTTGTCATTCCCTAAAGATGACCAATTATGAATATATGTGTAAAGCTGAACCCATGAGTGTAAATATACTTGAGGGGTTTCAATCATTACAGTTATTGTCCTCACTGAAGTTCAGTGTTATCAACCCCCCCCCCGTGATTGAGCCCAAGGCCTTTGCACCGAGCCACATCCCCAGCCCTTTTTTGTTTTACAGGGAGCAGGTTTCTCTAAGTTGCTGTATTGCCAGAGCTGGGCTTGAATTTGCAATCCTCCTGCCTCAGCCTCCCAGAGTTCTGGGATTACAAGCATGCACCACCATGAACTGCTCCCTTTTGTAACTGGTGGGAGCCTCTTCAAGTTGGTAACTCAGTCATTTTGAAGTGACACTGGTAGTGTTTGAACGCTTTGCTGTCTGAAAAAACTGTTTCCTTTTGTCAGCTTTTTGTTCAGTCCTAGATTCCTTCCCTTGTTGAAAAAGCATTGGTTTCTTTTAATGAGAAATGTTATTTCAGTGCACAAACTAGGTGCTGCAGATGCTCCTGGTCTCTGGTTTGATCACGACGTTGATCCCAGATTGGAAAGAGCTAGGAAATGGATGTTTTAATATATGTGTATTAATATATGTGTATTTAATATATGTATTAATATGTGTAGTTAATGTGTATTAATATATGTGTATTTAATATGTGTATTAATATATGTGTATTTAATATATGTGTATTAAATTTAAGGTCACCTCGAGTTAATACTTTCAATTTAGATTCAAGTCTGTTAGGCTTTGACCTAATCTCTTCTGTATTATACCTGTATTTCTCCACACTGAGAATCCTGGCTCTCATTCACAGGGAGTGATAAAATGGAATGTCACATAACCTTATTTTATCTCATGTTTCACATACTAAGGCCTCACAATATCGACACTGATGCTAGTATCACCAGAATGCTTAGTCCTCACAGCTGGCAAGTTATTTTACATATTACACCCACTCTTCCCCCATGCTTCAGTTGAAGTATACATTTTCAGAAATGCTATGAGTGATCGACAGTACCGTGAATGTTTAAATTACAACGAAACTGCAGTAAGAGACACATTGCCATGAATCCCTCTTAAAACTCTCCCCCTCACTTCAAACACACTTATTCCTTTGATTTTGCTACTTTCTGAAGCAGCTCTGGAGTCCTCCTTCCTGTGTCTTTAGCTGGGCTGTTGTGGCTGATGTGACACTGTGACACAGTGTCCTGAACTGATACAAAATGTTCCCTTTCACGGTCCATTTTGCTTTGGGGGAGAAGCAGAGGTTGCACCATGTCAGATCCAGTGAATACAGCGGACGACACACCGCAACTTATTTAATGTTTATTTTTATTACTTCATGATGGGTAGCTTTATTGCTAGTATTCAGAATCCTCAGGAAATGACTTCTTCTCAGAGATTTTCCAGGTGGAGCTGGCTTTCGGGTTTTGAATCTGGTGCAAGATCTTACCTGTTCAGTTTACTGGGGATGAAGTTGGTGCCCATTTGGCTGAGCCCCTCGTTCTTCGGCACTGGCCTGCACTGTTGTTTATGATCCTCAAGCTCGGGGCTGGGGGTTTAGCCAGTGGCACAGCACCTGCCTGGCAAGTGCAAGGTCATGAGCTTGATTCCTGGCACCGGGAAACAAAACAAAACAAAACAAAAAAGATCCTCAAGCTCAGTCTTGGAATACCAGAAGGAACAACTGACTAGAACAATTATGTCACCTTCGCTAAAGTAGTACAATTAGCAGTAACAGTAGCATCGAACACAGCCTAGAAAATGACAAACGGTGGTTAACTATTAATTTTCCACCTTTAACCATATGAATTGTATTTGTATTTTTTTTCTTTTGTTTTTGTTTTTGTTTTTTTTCTGGTACTGGGAATTGAACTCACGACCTCGCACTTGCCAGGCAGGCGCTGTGATGCTGAGCCAAATCCCCAGCCCTGAATTGTATTTGTAGTTATGTAATAAAACTTAAAACCCAGGATTTTATGTAGTAATTATGCCCTCAATGTGGTGATTTTACCCTCAGAGGAGAAAATTTAAAAAGAGGGGGAAAAAGAATAGAGAAATAAAAGAAGAGGAAGAAATCAGAAGCAAGGCTGGAGGACAGTAGAAGATTACAAGAATTTTGGGGAACTGGTGAAGATGACAGGAGGGAAAGAAAATGAAGAAATAAAAGCAATAACTGTTAGGCTTCTGGCACAGAAAAGAACCAAACAAAGCAAAGAAAGAAGACATGGAGAGCAGGCAGCATGCAATACTGGACTCCTCTGGGGCTAGACCAGGGAGCTGGGGCTTAGAAAGACTCTGGCTAGGGGCAGAGCTTAAGGGGCAGGCTTAGTGATGTGTCAGGAGCTGACTGGGGTTTTCTTTGTGCGTGCAGGAAGGGCACAAGGAAGTTTTACGCTGGGCTGAGGGGAGGAGAAAGGGGAGGTGGTTATTGGGAAGATGAGCCGTTGTTTGGGGCTTCAGCCATGTTAGACCACCACCGCCACAGTAATTCAGCAACTCATACCCAGGCAGGAACCCATCATTCCCACCTTGTGGTTGTTAAGAAGGGTGATGACTCTGAGACTGCTTCCTGCTGAATGGGGCATCGATTTGGGGGTGGGGAGAACTGACAGGATGATGGTCCATGTCCATAGAGAAGCTAGTGCTAGGTGTCTCAACCAGGACAAGTTCCTCGTTCATGAAGGCGCGCATCTAAGATTGAAGAAATCTTGAAAACAGTTTAAAAATACAAGGTGTTATGAGAAGGCAAATAATTATCATGAATAACGGGCCCAAGAGAGGGAGGAGGAAGGGGGTTCATGATCCAAAGCGTTTATCCCACCATGACCAAGGCGTAGAAGTGTAGCCATACTCCAGCTGTTATAACATCTATTTTTTTTAGTTTTTAATTTTTTTTTTTTTTTTTCCAGTAATGGGAATTGAACCTTACACTTGCCAGGCAGGCACTGTGCCACTGAGCTAAATCCCCAGCCCATTATAAAATCTAGTACCCTGCAGTTGTGGAGCACAATTGCCATCAGGGAGTTCATTTGCTTTTGAAAGATGGCCTGTTTTCTTAATTTTACTTTTCAATTAGGAGAGAGATCAGCTATGGTGTCATTTAAGGCCTGCTGACTATGGTTAGTTAAGGCCTTGATATGTATAACACTCCCTTTAGACAAGATCTGGTGGTTCTCAGTAACAGCAATCTAGGGTCGGCTTTAGCCCAAGTGGTTACTTCCTCACGCTGGACTTTTCATCTGTCAGTAACAGGAATCTAGCATATTTA